GCGGGGAAGGAAAAAAACCCAGCCCGGCACTATATTCGCTTCCCTCCGGCAAGGATCATGATTCGTGGCTTTGGGCAGGAGCTGTGGCTTCAGACGTGTCGGGTCTAGGTCGTCGCAAGTCCAGGTGCAGGATTGGTCTGGCTGCGTTCATCTGCCTGCTGCCTGCTCATCAAACTTTAGCTCAACACAAGGCCCCAACGATGACGGAATCCTGGGACTGACCTGTGCCCCGCTGCGCTCCCTGAGGCACCTCAGGCCATTTGAACCTTAAACCCCCAGGCAAATATCATGAGACCAACTACGATTCGAGAGGGACCCGATGGCAATCACCAAGCACTCCGACCTTGCCTTCTCTGCCCCCTGAAGCAGCTCTGGCAGAGAGAGCTCCCCATCCCCGTTCGCATCCACTTTCCTGAGCTGGCAGCTACTTTGTGCACTTTCCGATCTCAGTGAGATTCACAATAAGGCTTCAAGCAATTTTGCTTTACGGTCCTGTAGCTCCCCCCTCGCTGGCACAGGAGCCTGGCGCGAATCTTCTGGAAAAATTGGTTTCCTTGCCCACTCCACCACTCCATGTTTGTAACTCCAGTCTGGCAACAACTCCATGTTGCTTTTCCAATCTGCTCCTTTCCCTGAGAAGCCAGTTCAGACTGGTTCACCTGTCCCTGGAAGAACCGACTCCAAGATTCGTGCAGGAAAGCAGCCCTGCACCTCAATGCCTTCAGATCTCCTACCTCTACCCCTTGATTTTAGCACTCAAGGCAAGCACCCCTGCAATGCTCACAGGGGTAGTAAGATGCCGTAGAGCCTTACACCCTTGCCATCTGGACTGCCGCATCTCAAACCTCTACTGTAGTGGTTGAAACGAGAAGCGAACGCAGAGTCACCTCTAAGCAACGTATCCCGTGGAAACAATGCGTTTCCCTGACCCTAGACCCTGGTTCCCGAAAGCATGTCTTCTGAATTCCAAACCAAGAAGCCCAAGTTTCAAGTCCTGAACCCTGGAAGACCAAGCCAACTCAGCCCTGAATTCTGTCTAGAAGCCATAGGCGGGGAATGCATAAGCATTTAATCCAAAACCCTACGGCATACGTCATAAACCTGCTCAAATGATGCTTCGTGGCTTGAACATTTGCCCCAAATGCCTCGGCAAGGGAGAGCAGCACTAGTTGGAGGTCTGATGGGAAAGTCGGGAAAGTAGCCAGGGTGAGCTTCCGGGCATCAGGGTTTGCATTGTCGTAGGAGGGGGCTTGTTAATCAGAAGTCTACCATAGTGGCAACAAGACAAGAAGATCAGCGACAGCATGCGTAAGTACCCTGCGAACAAACCCAAGTTAATAGGCCATAAGCATGCCTCCCACACGTCTCTACGAACATCTGGTAAATTGCTACAAGATCGCAGTCCGGAGGCTTCAGATCCTCCTCCAGCTCGTAGTCCAAATCTGCAGCCAAGGTCGTGATATCCTTCTCCCTCTGCTCCATGGCTGCATCGACGATGACCTGATAGACAGGTGCTGAGACACGAGGAACTTGAAAGGGCGATCTCCCCAGCTACATGTCATGGACGCCCTCATGAAAAAGAGAAGTCAGGTGACTGCCACGACCAGATTCAATATGCCGTACATGACGGAAACCAGCGCACCCACGAAGATCGCAGCTGTATAAGGCTGCCTACGTATCACGGGCATAGCAACTTTTCCCCAGCTGTCCCCCGCCAGCATTGTCTGTAGAAATGTGAGGTTTGACTGCAGGATCGTCGCAAATGCATCCTTGCATTCTTTGCAGTCATCGAACTCACCCTCCTTCGCCAGATCTTGCAGGACTGGGTTCACGAGTTCGACTGCCACCATGGACCACAAGGTTGTGGCGATAAAGCAGAAAAGAAAGGACCACGCAAGCGTGCGGATAACGCTAGCAAACATCCTCGCTTGTTCACAGGGACCGCACATCCACGTTTCCAATGTGTAGTGCACTACTCTAGACCCTTACCATGAACCCCAAAATTTATCCGAGGATCATCATGAGTTTGCGCAGCTCCCGAAGCGAGGGTGACTTCCGAATGAAGCGGATAAGCCGCATGATCCTGGCTATCCGCAGCAGCTTGAAAACTCGGACCTCTTCGGCAGTGCTTCCTTAGATGCTGATGGAGCTCGCCCGCTAGATCCCGCTAGAGTCTAGAGTCTGCTGTGTCCGGTTGACGTGTCTCACCTCGGAAGTGCTGGGGGCAGGCACCAGGAAAACACGTTGTAAGGTACTTAGAATACAATCAGGCACAAGTTGCGGTGTTTTTGGTTTGCTGCTCTTGACCCTTCTCATTGCTGTACACGGACCAGTGCACGAAAAGCCAAGCTTCCCATGAGGAGGAACGCAATCTCTATGATCGAGGCAATGACGATAATGGCATCGATCCACCAGTCAAGTGTCCTCAGCACCTGCCACTGGCCGACGAAGACATGCCAAAACCTCGGTAGATTGGATGTTGCGTGCTGTAACATATAACATAAAATAGCTTTGTCAGTAGAGTACCGTACGGTGCTATAGTATAGAGACGCTAGGTTCAAAACCTCGCCATCTCCCAAAGCCGAGAAGATGGAGGTTCAGGCAAGAGAGGCCTGTTTGAAATCTGTGCATCCGTGGCCTTTCGTTGTTTCCACTGGGCCGGATAGTTCGGTACCAAAAGGACCCGAAAGGGTGAATTGAAGAGCATCCAAAGAACAACTCTAGGACATAGAAAGCCAGGCAGACCTGACAGATCAAGAAAGCCCAGGTCGGTGCTGGAGCACCACCAGCGCGGAGATCAATATCGACACAAGCCAACGCGAGATCGATCGAGACCACAAAGCCTGAGAAGAGATCCTTGGCGGCTCGCAAGGGCTTTGCGGGTCAAAAGATTCCTGCGCAGGGTTCAGACTAAAAGTGATCCTGTGAGTCCGGATTCTCACAGGAATGTTAATGTTGATGTACGAAAAACTGTTAAGCAACGAAAACAGACGAAGCCAACCGAAGGATCCATATATGTGGAGTGCAGGCACTTCCTGGCTCGCTTCTTCGTGTTCGCGGACATTGGGCATTCAGTAAACTCGTCTGAGGACATTCTTCGCTTGATAGCGGTCTTGATGTACTGCGACGGGCCTCCCTTGTAATGCACCGGTTCCTGCAGCTTCTGCGAACACGCGTGTGAGAAGCGCCCGCATGTGGAGCTTATTCCCTCCAGAGTCGTGTCCATGTAAACAAGAGGATAACATGAACGAATTCAGTCGTTAGTACTAATTCTGGTGCTAGTGCTAATACTAATACTAATACGAGTGCTGGTGCTAGCGCTGGTGCTAGTGCCAGCACTGGTACTAGCACCAGCAGGAGCACTAGCACCCGCACTAGGTGGTGGTGGTGGCTGCGGTGGTAGCCGCAGTAGCAGGAGTAGCAGTAAGCAGCTGCAGCTGTAGCAGAAGCAGTTGTAGTAGTAGTAGTAGTAGTAGTAGTAGTAGTCGTCGTCGTAGTCGCAGTCGTGGTGGTGGTAGTAGTAGTAGTAGTTTTTAGTAGTAGTAGTAGTAGTAGTAGTAGTACTACTACTACTACTACTACTGCTACTACGACGACTACTACTACGACTACTACTACTACGACTACTACTACAACTACTACTACTGCTACTACTACTACTGGTTACCAGTAGTAGTAGTAGTAGTAGTAGTAGTAGTAGCAGGAGTAGTAGTA